CTTTGACATTTCATCATGAATAGACTTACTAACGAGCAACGCTTGCAAATCATTGAATTTTATTACCAAAATCAGTGTTCGGTTCGCTTTACGTCCGATTTATGGTCTACATAATCGACCAAGTGAGCAAACAATTAATGCGATTGTGACCAAGTTTCGCACTCAGTTTACTTTATTGGACATTAAACCAACCACACGAATGCGTACAGTGCGTACAGAAGAGAATATTGCGTCTGTTTCTGAGAGTGTTGCTGAAGACCGTGAAATGTCGATTCGTCGCCGTTCGCAGCAATTGGGTTTGCGAAACACATTTCGAACCGAACACTGATTTTGGTAATAAAATTCAATGATTTGCAAGCGTTGCTCGTTAGTAAGTCTATTCATGATGAAATGTCAAAGCATACTGAGCATCTTTCTCTTTGACACCATGTCTGAAATCCCACGTGATCTGTCAAATACTAATGCATGAAAATCCTAACCTCAAAAAAATCACCCGTTAGTAATAAGATTGAGAAGAAAGATTTGACGCATTCTTATTTTAAAATTAGCTTGAAAGAATGTCTATAAGATAGCCGAATGTCAAGAAAATTAAGAAAATAAAGCGAGAAAAGAACAACACCCTCCACAAAAAAAAAAATCTAAAAAATCAACGGCAAATTTTAACGACTTGAAACATGCACTTTCTTATGCTACAATGGGCTACCTACATACCCGAAAATTTTCTAAATATTCTAATTGAAAACTTTTAAATTTTGATGACAATTTTTTGAAGTTTGATTAATTTTTGTGCAATTTGTGCAAGCTATTTAACATTTATTACTGTGGTTTCTGTTATAGATTGAATTATATTTTAAATAAAAATTATTAAAAATAAATAAATAAACACAATTTGCAACAATATCATTTTGAATTTCGTTGCACTTATATACATATGTGCTAGCACATTAAGTTAGCCCTTATCTTTTCAAGTTTAAAATTTGTCCTACCGCTCAATTAAGTTTCCGTACCATAAAAAAATTTGATTTCAATCGAATGAACATAGTTAAGAGGGGCTTCGAGTCCCTAAAAAAAGGGTTTACATTTTTTCTAAAATTTTTCTTTTCGATTTTGAAGCCTTGAAGCACATCTTCGCCTCAGTCCATTGTCCTATGAATGCTACAGCTCTTATGTTTTCTTGTGTTGGAATAAAACTCAAAAGTATCCCAATCAAAGTTTTTTTTTTTTGTAAATGTCTTCGAAGAGCCACCCTTATGCTCACATATGTATCTGTACAGAAGAACATATGGTGACAAAATATATCAATCGGTCTTCGTTAAACAAACGACGTTGACGGGGCATGAAAAACGCTCAATATGTGGAATTTTGAGAATTTACATATTTATTTCATCATCTTGCTGGCAAAGACGAAAGATGCTGCTGCCCCATGCACATTAATGTTTTTTTTTTAAATAACGAAACAACTGGTTTTATAATAGTTTTGAGAACAAATAGCAAACTTAACTATAACTAAATTAAATTGGTCAAGTTGACATTGCGATAAGCCAAACTTTTCCAGTCATGGTATCACAACGTCACGCGAACTTTAGTCCTAAGTTCGCCGCTGCGTGACAGTGGCAATCACACCTACCTGGTACGTTTATTAGGTAAATTCTGATCATAACAACGCAGGTGTTATAAAAATATTAAAACCTTCATTCGTGTTCGACAGAAGTGAATCCACGAACATAGACAAAATGACATAGACAAAATATAAAAAAAAAAATAAATAAAAAAATTTCTAGTTAAACTATTGCAGTATAAACAGCAACAACTAGAAAAATTATTTACGCTCGTACACTTATGGAAGAATACATAAATTAATCATTTGATGGATGATTCATGATTTTGCCTCTCAAATGGGGCGGGTTGCTATTAGCTGGCCAAAGTTGGCAACCCTTAAAAGCTGTTTCCATAACTTGATGCATTATTTTCAAGACATTGAACCGCAAATCTAGACTCAGTGGTATACGGCGAATCTTATTTCGTTTGCTTGTATGTAACTAAGGTGGTACGGTTTAATGGACAGCCAAACCTTTTAGGGTACGCATACGCCCTGTGTACCTTTCAAACACTGTTTAGGCCGCTTGACACTCATACGCCATGTCGACTAGTTACATACTACTTATCGTACCTTTGCTGCAAGAGTATCATAATAAAAAAATAAGAATAAAAATAAAAACTCTGCTTTTACAGTTTACATACGCTCCCATAGTAAAAATGAAGGCGCATTTATTTCGACACAGCTTTGAAATTTTTACACCACATAGAGTAACTGGTGGCGGTAATTTCAGCATACTTAACTCAAAATATTATTATTTTTTTAAGTGAAACTTCTTTAGCGGCGCTTAGTTGGTTGGGAGTAAATTGGCAAATTCAACGGAAATTGTGCAACGCAAATGGTTGGGGCTGAAACAAGTTATTTTATTCATTCAGTTATTGAAATATCGGATTTTTCCCATTTCTGAAATTTACCGTTATACAAGAAACGGGTGTAATTTAGTCCGATTTTAATAACTTTCAACGAATGGCTTTGCATCGAGTTTGGTAGAAATTGATAAATCTGTTACCAATGTACATATTTGTGGCCATAAGGGGCGACGCCACGCCCATTGTCAAAAAATTTATAATATTATTTTATGCTAGGTGGTAATTGCAATCATCGATTTTAAGTGAATTATCTTCAGTAGTTCCGGATTTATCGCAGTTTTCGTGTTTCTGTAAATTACCGTTATATGGGAGGTGGGCGTGGTTATTGCCCGATTTCAAAGATTTTCAATAGATTTCTTAGCTGGACCCTAAGAAAAGGTTCGTACCGAGGATTGGTGAAAGGGGCTACTGAGATACACTATGTCATCATAAGTAGGTGGGGTCACGCCTATTTTCTAACACTTTCATAATAACAGTATTATTTTGTACCAATATTCTTCTTCACATATTAATTTTCAAAAATTTGGATCCAATATTTACTGAAATATCGAGGTTTTTGCATTTTTCGAAAATACCGTTATATGGGAAGTGGGCGTGGTTATAGTCCGATTTTGCTAATTTTCAATACCACCTACCTTGGATAAAGGGCAACTTAAATACCATATTTCGTTAAGATATCTCAATTTTTTCTTGAGTTATCGTGTACACGGACGGATAGACAGACGGACAGACACACATGGCTTAATCGATTTCTTTTTTAATTCTGATCATTTATGTATACACTTGTCTATATCTATCACGATTCGTTTTGGCCCTTACAGACAAACGTTATGTGAACAAAACAAATATACCCTTGTGAGATGAGGATGAGGATACCGATAAAAGTAGAGGAAGAAACATTAAAATAAAGGTATTTATAGTGAAAAGGATATAGATGGAGACATAGACTCAATCTGGGAACTACTTTGGGATTTTAGAGATTTTCGGGATTCCCGGGACTTATCGATATAATAATGATATTTTATCGGTTTTGTTATTGATATTTTTATCGATTTTGTTATCGAAATTTTTATCGATTTTGTTATCGATATTTTTAACGATGTTATAGATTTTGATATCGATATTTGCGAAACTTATCGATATAATAATCGATACTTTTATCGGTTTTGCTCGCGAAGTTTTTATCGATATTTTTTTTATCGATTTTGTTATTAATATTTTTATCGATACATTTTATTGATTTTGTTATCGATACTTTTATCGATGTTGTTATCGATTTTTTTATTTATATTTTTATCGATATTTTAATCGATTTTCTTATCGATTTTGTTATAGATGTTACTATCGAAACAGAATAACATAGATGCAATTAGAATGAACAGGGTAGAGGTAGGGATCTAGATAGACCCTTAAGCAAAAGCAGATGTATGTGTGTACATATGTATATTGGTTATGAGCAGGGAAATTGCTTTTTTTCTGCTAAAGAGATAGAGTATGTTCGATTAAGAATGTCTCCGATTTAGCTTTCCCTGATTCCATATATACACATTTGATGTTGCCTTTTTTAAATTATTGCGTGGTGAAAGCCCTTATTCCTGGTATTATAAAAGTTTCAAACGTTCCATATTTAAATTGGGCGCCACTTGTATCAACTCACGTTGAGCACACGTTTATTACTTCAAACATTCAAAGCTGTGTTAAAACCTGTTCTGTCACAAAAATATCAAGTTGATAATGAAGAAGAAAATCGATGGATAAATAAAGAAGTAATAAGTGGTCACATGAAAATGCGCAAAGATTTTTTTTGTCTGAAAAATGAGCAGTAAAGAATGTTACTCATACGCCATGTATACCTGAAAAGATCTCGAAAACTTATCCACAGAATAAAAAATTAACTCGATTTTCGGAATCGGCAAGCAATTCTATATAGCAATTGGATATGTAATGGCGTCCGATGAACATTTTTCCTATAAACACGTGTTATTTTAAAGGTTTTGTCTTTTTTAGTGCCTGCTTTTGCCTTTTTTTGTTATTTCGAGTGCCTTTTCGTGCCTATTTCGCTGTTTTATTACGCATTTTTTTATAGGTTTATGGGTCCTAAAAATCCGTTCCCTGGTTACGAGATAAACTATATGTGTAACATAAGTTTCACTTCTCCAGTGTGGTCCAGCCGCGCTTACTATTTTTTTTTTTGTGATTATGACACTCTTACAGCAAAGATCCAATATGCAGCTGCCAGACATACTCGCATAGCGCATTACTACCTCATTTTGTAGGCACATGTTTTGTGTTGAGTCAGTTTCGTTTATTTTCATTCTTTTGTCACATATTCTCGGTAGCTGTATTTTTAGGGGTTTCGTGTTCATTGTCATTGTTGATCGCGAAAGTCTTAGCAGAGGCATTTTTGCAGCTAGAATGAATTATGCAACTACACTCTCAACTAGGTAATATTAAATATAATACAACTCGAGCACATTATAAAAATAAATTAAAAGTTTTGAATCTTTTTTTAGCCGCTGACAGCTAAATATTACCTGGCGGGTTGCACATAAAATGCGCAAATTCAAATCAGCTCCGCTCACTTCCTTTAGTATAAAGTTTTCTTTAGTTTACTTCTTTTTTTTTCAAATAACTCAACACTGCATTTCGCAGCGACTCACTTTCTTTTTGTTTAACACAAACTTGAGTTCTTTGTCACATTTTTATTTTTAAAACTCTTGCGCACGTTTTCAGCTTTTTGTTTTATCCTTTCTGCTCGATTGAAGTTTTGTAGATAAACACTTTGTTGCATGAATTTTTCAAATATAATTAGTGCTATTCATTTCCACACCACAGCGTTACTAATTATTTTTTTTTCAACTTTATAAGGCTTTCTAGCGTTTTTGGGGTATAACACTTTCCGGGTATGGGGGCACGGCAAGCAACCCGCTTGCTTGTAACAACGGCAACAGTTCGTCCGAACGGTCAATCAGTCATTCGCACACTGAAGAGTTGGCGTTCCTGGTGACTGGCGAGTTGCCACACATCATATATGTAAATAAGTATATAGCTGCCTAGCTGTTTAGGTGTTTAGGTGTTTAGCTGCTGGCTGCCTGGCTGCCTGGCTGACTTTTCTGCCTACTTGTTGGCTTGCCCGCCTGCCTTTGTTTTTGGTCTGTGTACGTGCATATTTTAGCTGCTTGGCCGGGAGCTGATCTGAGCAGGCGACAAGTAAGCATACCAACATTTGTTATGCTGGGTGCTCTTTTGCGTCGCCGCTTTAAGGAGTCCGCTGAAATTTTGGATGCAGAGGGAGGGAAAGCTATTCGCTGACACTCAAATTTGGCGGAAAACACTCTGTTGTTTGTTGGATTCTCTTCAACCAAAGTACGCTCTTCTCAGATACTCACACAAATAAGCGCTAATTGCATGTATATGTGTGTGTAAGTACCCTGACGGAAGCAAGTGAATTTTGTCAAATCAACTAATTGAAAGACTACTTTAAAACAAATACAATGAGTAGTAAATGTTTCGAATTTCGATACTCTCTTTCCTCAAAGAAACAATTTGTGTTTTGGAAGTATGAAAAAACATCTGTGAAATGGCAATTGACTGCTTCCTAGAACATCGCCTAGTTAAAAAATGAGTTCGTTGCAGGTAAAATAGTGACAATTTCAATTAGTTATCACTGAAAATAAAGTAGTTTATAAATTACTTTTCAATTAATTAAATTTCCTGCAGGGTATGCATGCAGCAGCCAGTAAATAAAAAACATAACCAACAAGGCAACTCATCTCACTTGACTGCTCTGTGAGCGTGCCAGCAAACAATTAAATATGCAACTGTATGTTAAGCAACAGTCAACAGGCAAGTTAACCGCAGCCAACCAAACAAATATGTATGTTGCTTGCTCCCTTGTACGCAGTGTTGCCGTTGAGAATTTTCAGAAAGGGTCCCCATATTATTTTTGCTTTTCTTTACTAGTAAAAGAATAAATCTGTTGAATAAAAAGTCGCACATAATTTTGCTGAAGGGTCAAAAAATCAAAATTTTCAAAAAGTCGGGTCAAAGGGTATTGGCGCTTAAAAAGTGTCAAATTGCTCCTTTAGTCGCACAACGGCAACACTGCTTGTACGTCCCTGAGCTGTGGTTTTGCGCTCTTTGTGCTATGTATCCACATTAGTACTCATATTCTGCGCCAGCGTCCGTGGTCACTCGCCTCGGGCTAGCACAAAAATTGTTTACTTTCTAACCTCCCTTTTTAACCTGTGAGTGAGTAATATTTGATTCTGCTTCTGTTGGTTATTTCGTTGTTATATACATATGTATATATATACATATCTGGTACATGTACCCTTGTGGCCAGCTGATTATGTTAAGTAACAATTTTGACCAATTTTAATTATTTTTCTTTTGCCTATTAATGTATATAATTTTTTTTTTTTTGTAAAGCACATGACATAACCACCACCACATAAATCCACATTTCAAACTTCATACGAAAATCATACAAATTCATACCCAAAAATTAAAATTTTTTTTCAGAATTTTTATATTTTTTTTTTTATAGCTCATTAATTTTTAGTATGTTAGAGCACATTTTCTTTAATATAAAGTTTGCTCGACAATTATTTTTTTTATGGAAGCAAATGCGCAGCACCGTCAGCAAAAACAAAAATTATTAAAATCAACGCGGGTTCCTAGCTTTTGGAAATGTACACTTTAACCCACTCAAAATGAATGGGCTATAAAACTGCATACCTAAATTTTTTCTAAAAATTCTGAAAAAAATTTAAAATTTGTGGGTGTAATTGTTAAAGTTTGTTGAATTTTTTATTATTTTTGTATGAAGTTTGAAATATGGAGGCTTTATAAAAAATTTATAAACATTAAATAAATAAATTAAAAAAAAGCCAAAACTGGTCAAAATGTCACTTAACTTAATCAGCTGACCAAAAGTGTACGTGTATAATGTGCATCTATGTATACGTGCGTACTCATGCGTGCCTGAGTAATGCCGCCACAGCTTCTCCTTCATTGACTGTGTGAATAAATAGCTGTACTGTTGTGTTCGACGTCATCAATGAATGTACCCGTCAGCCTCATTGAGTATATGTCAGTTTCATTTCATTTATTTCAGCCGCACCATCAACTCCACCCCCATTCAGGCAGCAACAACAACATGTGTGGCACGCATGCAACGTTATTTCATAAAAAAATGTAAAGCAGAAAAATAATAAAAATAAAAAAGTTTTCAACCAACTCACAGCATGTAGCGTGTCGTCAATGTACGAAAAGCATTTTTTTTCCTTTCTGCTGTTGGCAATAATGTAAACAGCTCACGTTTCTCCCCAGCTATCGTCAACTTGGCAATCGCGCTGGGTTATCCACTTTTAGATGCTGCGAAGTGAAATTGAAATTTTCTATAAAAATATCGCCCGTTATAGGCGTACAATGGATATACTATGTATAAGTACAAACATAAATGTATATGTACATTAGAACGCACTACCTTTCAAGAAAGCAAAAAAAAGTTCGCCGTACAACGCTCAGCCTAAAATATTTTTGCAAGATGATTTCGAAAATATTATTTTTTTAAATAATTTTACCGGAATAACACCGTGCGAAAGTCAATTTTACACATACAAAAATTAATACATTATTGAAACTTGGGGCCAAAAAACATTAAAACTGCTTTTTTAGTTTTTTCTCGCTGACGTTTGATTTATTAAAAAAATGATCTAAAACATTAAGTGCAATGTAGAATATTAATATCAAAACAAAGAGAAAATGTAGTAAAATTTAAAAGGATAAATTTTTTTGGTGGACATCGTTGAAAATTTGCAATAAATATTTTTGAAAAAATTACAAATTAAAGACTAATATATATATATATATATATATACATACCATCACCTCGAATTTCGTACTTCTAAATATATTACCTTAAAGAAATACAAATGATTGAAACGACATTTTTAATACCTTTTCGTTCTTGTGAGTCAAAATACTTATTTTTTTTTAATTACAATTTTATTTGATACCCATAACTTTATTTTACAGAATTTTTTCAATAATTTTTTGAATTAATCATATCTTTGAAATTTTTATGTCCTTTGGAGCATTGATATATCATCATTTAAGATCCGGTATATGCCAAATACTTAACGCAAAATGTATAAAGCCGAACGTTCGGCAAAATTTTTTTTATTTTCGAAATTGCCTTGCAAAAGTTTTTTGGAATAAGGGGTGTACGGTGAACTTTTTTCCGGTACGGTCTAATGCACCTATGCATCCATGGGCGTAGCCAGGTAGGGGCAGGGGGTGCTCGAGCCCCCGCCCCCCCCATACCTTTCAAATTTTCCTTATATATAAGTAAGCATTTTGCTCTATTTTCCTTCCTCACCTGTTCTTTGTCTGTATTTGTGTCTGGTAGGGCTCACCCACATTCAAAATTATGGCCGCTGACTTCATGGCTAGACTGAGATTTTCTCAGAATTTAAACATATTGGAGTAGTAATGAGTAATTAAGAAAGATGACGCCGAAGATAGATACATACATCTCAAGATTGGGTTAGATTATTTAAGGTTCAGTTGGGTTACACTATAATAGATTAGGCCACGCTAATGTTGTATCCTCAATTGGTACTCACTTATCCTCAGTTACATTTTTGGTACAACGAAGAGAGTAGTTTATCCCCTAACCAGTTGGTGGCATGAATTAATTTTATTAGATTTCCAATATCGATAGATCTAAGGCTTTAAGGAGCTTAGAATTATGACCACGAGACCTAGGTTAAGAAAATTGTATTTATCCGCGACGAAGCCTCGTGCCACCGAATTCCGCTGCCATATGAATACATACATATGTACATATACATACACATATAGTCGAAATCAATATGTGTTTATTATTAAACATATGTAAGTATGTATGTATGTACCTGTGCAAAAAAAAATGTTGCAGAAACAGTGGCGCACCCACCACCACTGGCCGGCAGCTTGCCGCAATCTGATCAAAACAACAGGTTTCACAACATTAAAAGTCATATTTTTATAAGAAATATTTCTTGTTGTTAGCGCTCACATTTATGTTACACATTGCTGCATGACATTTCGACAGTTTCGCTAATTTTATTAAATGACCCACAAATCTAGTTCTACATTAATAATTGCACAGTGGCGATTTATTTTGTTGAAATACTTAGTTATGTACTATATATTTTTGTTTTCAACGGATGAGTGAATAAATAATAAATTAAAATATCTACCTGAACTAAATGTGCATAAGTACATGCACAGGAGTATGTACAAACCTACATTTACACATCCATATGTATGCATACTTTTGTGCATCGCATATGAATGTATTAGGGCTTTCGCACGAGGCGATTTTTCAGGCAACTTTTAGTTGAAAGCAAAAATCGCCTCGTCCGAACGGCCTTTCAACTAATCGCTTTCAACAAAGTTGGTCGCCAGCCAACTTTGAGCTCGTTCAACTTTTTTTCCTTGCAACCCTGTGTTTGTTTACATTCTGTATCAGTGTTGGGA